GGTCACTGGGGGTGGTCAAGGGGTCATCAGGGGTGGTCAGTGGTCACTGGGGGTGGTCAGTGGTCATTCAGGGGGTCATGGGAGGGGTCAAGGGGTCACTGGGGGTGGTCAGTGGTCATCCAGGGGTGGTCAAGAAGTGACCAAGGGTCATTGGGGGTGGTCAAGGGGTCATCCAGGGGTGGCCAGTGGTCATTGGGGTGGTCAGTGGTCATTCAAGGGGTCAGTGGGAGTGGTCAAGGGGTCATTTGAGATGGTCAAGAAGTGACCAAGGGTCATCGGGGATGGTCAGGGGGTCATCAGGGTGGTCATTGGGGGTGGCCAGTGGTCATCAGGGTGGTCAAAGGGTCACCCAGGGGTGGTCAGTGGTCATCCAGGGGTGGTCAAGGGATCATTGGGGGTGGTCAGTGGTCATCAGGGATGGTCAAAGGGTCACTGGGGGGTGGTCAAGGGGTCATCCAGGAGTGGTCAGTGGTCATCAGGGATGGTCAAGTGGTCACCACGAGTGACCAAAGAACTCCCAAGGCTCACCCGGGGGGCGGCCGGACCCCTCCGGCCGCGGTCATTTATTGGTCACTCGTCCGAGCCCGCGGGGCTACCCAGGAAAAGGTCGGAGTAGCCAAAGGCCAGAGCGGCTCCTTCCTCCTCCTCCTCCTCCTCCTCCTCCTCCTCGTGGTCATCTTCGTCCTCCTCGTGGTCATCCTCCTCCTCCTCGTGGTCATCCTCGTCCTCCTCGTGGTCATCCTCCTCCTCCTCGTGGTCATCTTCCTCCTCCTCGCGGTCATCCTCCTCCTCCTGGCGGCCGCGCCGCCGTCCCGAGCCGTCGGCGTTGGCCTTGCGGTCATCTCGGGCCGGACGAGGCTCCTGGAGCGGCCGGAGCCCGCCGGACGTCGCTCTGGAGCCAGATGACCACTGGTCATCCGTGGAGACCGCTGGTTTTCCTCCTGCTGACCGCTGGTCGTCCTTGGGGGCCGTTCTTCCTCCAGATGACCACTGGTCACTCTTGGACCCCGCTGACCACTGGTCACTCTTGGACCCCGATGACCACTGGTCATCCTTTGACCCTACTGGTCTTCCACCAGCTGACCACTGGTCATCCTTGGATCCAGCTCTTCCTCCAGATGACCACTGGTCATTTTTGGAGCCGGATGACCACTGGTCACTCTTGGACCCCGCTGACCACTGGTCACTCTTCGAGCCGGATGACCACTGGTCATCCTTGGATCCAGCTCTTCCTCCAGATGACCACTGGTCATTTTTGGAGCCGGATGACCACTGGTCACTCTTGGACCCCGCTGACCACTGGTCACTCTTCAACCCCTCTGACCACTGGTCATCCTTTGACCCAGCTCTTCCTCCAGCTGACCACTGGTCATTCTTCGACCCCGATGACCACCGGTCATCCTTGGACCCAGCTCTTCCTCCAACTGACCACTGGTCATCCTTTGACCCAGCTCTTCCCCCAGATGACCACTGGTCATTCTTCGACCCCGATGACCACCGGTCATCCTTGGACCCCACCGACCACTGCTCACCCCTCCCCCCACCCCCCCTCCCCCTGGCCGGAGCCGCCCGCGCCCTCCTCGGCCGCTTGACCGCCTCTCCGGCCGCTCGGGCGCGGTGTCCGAGCAGGCGTCCGAGCAGGAATCGCCGCTGGCCGCGGGCTCGGAGCCACTTGGCCTCCAGCCGGGCGACCTCGTCGCAGAGCGCGCCGTTCTCCAGCACCAGCGCCCGCGCCGCGCGGCGCAGCCGGCGCCAGCGCTGCCGGTAACGCTCGGCCGGCCGCGGCCGCGGCGCGCGAGGCATGGCCGGACGCTGGGTGGACGCTGGGGAGAAGAGAGAAGGAAAATGTTGGCGAGAATTGGTCAAAATCGGCGGAAATCGACCCAAAATCGGCGCAAATTGAGCTCAAAGGGACGGAAATCGGCACAAATTGGCACAAATTGACCCAAATTGGTCTTGGATTGACTCAAATTGACCTAAATTGACCCAAATTGAGCTCAAAGTGACCGAAATTGGCACAAATTGAGTTTGGATTGACCCAAATTGCCCCAAATTGACCCAAATCGGCACAAATTGACCCAAATTGGAACAAATTGACCCAAATTGGTCTTGGATTGACTCAAATTGACCTAAATTGACCCAAATCAAGCTTTGATTGACCCAAATTGACCCAAAATCGGCACAAATTGAGCTCAAAGTGACTGAAATCGGCACAAATTGACCCAAATTGGCACAAATTGAGCCCAAATTGAGCCAAATTGGAACAAATTGAGCTCAAATTGGCACAAATTGGTCTTGGATTGACTCAAATTGACCTAAATTGACCCAAATCAAGCTTGGATTGACCCAAATTGCCCCAAATTGACCCAAATCGGCACAAATTGACCCAAATTGGAACAAATTGACCCAAATTGGTCTTGGATTGACTCAAATTGACCTAAATTGACCCAAATCGAGCTTGGATTGACCCAAATTGACCCAAAATCGGCACAAATTGAGCTCAAAGTGACTGAAATCGGCACAAATTGACCCAAATTGGCACAAATTGAGCCCAAATTGACCCAAATTGACCCAAATTGACCCAAATTGGCACAAATTGACCCAAATTGACCCAAATTGGAACAAATTGAGCTCAAAGTGACCAAAATCGGCACAAATTGAGCTCAAAGTGACGGAAATTGGCACAAATTGACCCAAATTGGCACAAATTGACTCAAATTGACCCAAATTGACCCAAATTGACCCAAATTGGCACAAATCGACTCAAATTGGTCTTGGATTGACTCAAATTGACCTAAATTGATCCAAATTGACCCAAATTGAGCTCAAAGTGACCAAAATTGGCACAAATCGAGCTTGGATTGACCCAAATTGACACAAATTGACCCAAATTGGCCCAAATTGGCACAAATTGACCCAAATCGAGCTCAAATTGGCCCAAATTGAGCCCGAATTGACCCAAATTGGCCCAAATTGGCACAAATTGACCCAAATCGAGCTCAAATTGGCCCAAATTGAGCCCGAATTGACCCAAATTGGCCCAAATTGGCACAAATTGACCCAAATTGAGCTCAAAGTGACCGAAATTGGCACAAATTGACCCAAATTGGTCTTGGATTGACCCAAATTGGCACAAATTGACCCAAATCGAGCTCAAATTGACCCAAATTGAGCCAAATCAACCCAAATTGGTCTTGGATTGACCCAAATGGACCCAAATGGACCCAAATCGACCCAAATTGACCCAAATTGAGCCAAATCAACCCAAATTCGTCTTGGATTGACCCAAATTGACCCAAATCGACCTAAATTGACCCAAATTGACCCAAATTGACCCAAATTGAGCTCAAAGTGACAGAAATTGGCACAAATTGACCCAAATTGGCAAAAATTGACCAAAATTGACCCAAATCGAGCTCAAATTGACCCAAATTGGCACAAATTGACCCAAACTGAGCTCAAATTGACCCAAATTGGCCCAATTTAACCCAAATCGGCACAAATCGAGTTCAAATTGACCCAAATTGATCCAAATTGTCAAAATTTAACCCAAATCGACCCGAATTTAACCCAAATTGACCCAAATTCGTCTTGGATTGACCCAAATTGCCACAAATTTCCCCAAAAATCCCCCAATTCCCCAAATTTCCCCCAAATTTCCCCGAAAATCCCCAAATTCCCCAAATTTCCCCAAAAAAATCCCAAAATTGCCCCAAATTTCCCCAAATTCTCCCGGGGCGGCCCCGACCGAAACCCGGAGTTGATTTTGAGGAAAAATCCGGGGGAATCGGGAAAAATCGAAGGCGGAGCCGCAATTTTGGGTGGAAAGCTCTCATTGAGGTTCCCCTCCCCCTCCCCCCGCTGGTTTTGGGGCGAAAAGCGGCGATTTTGGGGCAAAAAACGGCGATTTTGGGGCAAAAATCGGCGATTTCTGGACTCACCGGGGTCGGAACGAAGCGGGAGGGACCGGAAGTGAGCGCGGGGGGAACGGAAATGAGGGAACACCACCGGAAGTCACTCCTAAAACGCGACGTAACCCAGAGAAAAGTGTGGAAAAACGGGTTTTTCACCCCAAAAATCCGGTTTTAGGACGTTATGACGTCACGGATTTGGGTTTTGATGCTTTTTTTGGCTTCCTCGTGTGTTTTAGCTGCCGAATCGAACGGGTATTTCCGGCTCCGAGCCGCTCTGGCCCGCTCGGAGGACCGCGAGTTCCGTTAGCTTTAACGAACACTCCTCCAACTCTATGGTTACTTCCGGTCCGCGCTGTCACACTCGCGTCATCTCGATGGTGATTTCCGGTCCGGAGCCGCTCTGGTCTCCTTGGAGGACCAAACGCCTCCATTAATCTCAACGACCCCGCTCAACTCTATGGTTCCTCCCCATTCACCCCCATTGGAGCCGCTCTGGCCGCCTCGGAGGACTCGCTGCTGGTTTTAGGCCCAAACCGGCCTTTTTTTTCGCCTCCAAATCCCCGATTTTTTCCTTTTTTTCCCCGATTTTTCCTTCCCGATCCCACTTTTCCAACCCAAACTTTCCTTTTCTCCCTCCAAACTCAAAACCCGCAGGTTTTGGGGCAAAACTCTCCCATTTTGAGCCCGAATTCCTCGTTTTCTTCCACCCAAAATTCCCTTTTCACCTCAAAACCCCCAATTTTTCCCTCAAAACCCCCAATTTTTCCCTCAAAAACCCCAATTTTTCCCTCAGAAACCCCAATTTTCTCTCAAAAACCCCAATTTTCCATCAAAACCCCCAATTTTTTCTCAAAAATCCCAATTTTCCCCTCAAAAATCCCAATTTTCCCCTCAAAAACCCCAATTTTTCCCTCAAAACCCCAAATTTTCCCTCAAAAACCTCAAATTGTCCCTCAAAAACCCCAAAATTTCCCTCAAAAACCCCAAATTTTCTCTCAAAAACCCCAAAATTTCCC